TCATCCAGGCAAGCATGTGTGTGCTTGTGTGTGCATGTGTGTATGGGTGCTGTGTTAGCCGAGAGGCAATTTACTGCCCTCTTGGAGCCAAATCTAACATCCTGTTGTGTACTTCAGACAACTTGTCTTCAGCATGTGGGTTTTGATGGTAGCTCATGGGGGAGGTGTCCATTTATATCAAGGTCAGTTTCACGAAGTTTTCAGCAGTGTTCACATTTGCCAGACCACGTTGCTGTGCCTCTATGCCCACTCTCCTTTCGTCTCTGTGCTCCCATTCTTTCTCAATCATTTATATCCAATATTTCTTCCTCCCATTTCTCCTTCTTGGTCCTCAGAATTAGCAGAATGCTGGTGAATTTAAAAAGAGAAATCGGTTTTAAAATGTTGTTGTAGCTCCTCTCATCCTAATAATAACGCGATAAAACACTAGAAAAACAAAAGCCTCACTCTTTTTCCTCCCTCCCTCCCTCCCCCTGCAGAGTAATGGAAGCAGTATGCTTTTTGTTTACTTGCTTTTGTTCTTGAAGCAACCAAATCTGGGTGCAAATCCTAATTCTTCCATTTGCTAGCTATGTGAACCTGGCACATTAGTTCAATTCTCTGAGCATGTTTCCTCATCTGTAAATTAGGAACAGCAATGCGTACTTCAGAGTTTTGATAAAGAAGTACACAAAATGAATGGAAGTGCCTCCACCAGAGTAGGTATACGCACTGTGTATTTCCTTCCAGCTCTCATTTTACTGGGTCTATAGACCTAATTAATGGTCCTTCTTCATTGGATTTTAGTCTAATTAACAATTTTTTTTAAGTACCTATATGTGCCAGCTCTTGTGCACCAGGATCCAAACAGAAACCAAATAGATTTCATTTCTTCAAGAGCAACCTCATGCTGGAACCAGGAAAATAATAAACTAGCACAGAATAATGTGGTAAGGGAAACCATAAGAGGAGACCTAAGACTTCTTGGGGACAGGGTGGGGAGAGGGTGTCCTTGAGGAGAAGGGGGCCCTGAAGAGGTAACACTGAACAGGAGCCATGAAGGATGCTGCAGTTGGGGAAAAGGTGCTCTGGGAAGAGAGAAACAAATGGAAGCAGGCCTATGGGAACTGCTGTGTGTCCTCCAGGACAGGAGAAGAGTGAGCCATGAAGGGGTATGAGGCTGAGTGGTTGAGAAGAGCTGAGATGGAGAAGAGCATTGTACGCTGGGGATGGGATTCAGTTTGAAAACTATGGGGAGCCATTAAAGGAGTTTAGGTTAAGGAGAGCCAATAACATGAGGGATTTCACCTGAAGCACACGGAGCCAGCTCACATCCTTGTTTACACAAATTGTCTCTCGAATCAACCTGAGGTGCAGAGGGTCCGCAGGCTAGGAGACCTAGTTCTGCCACTAACGATTTGTGCCTCATCAGGCAAGTCACTTACTCTCTCCCAATCTGAGTTTTCGATTTCTGAAATGAAGGTCTTGGACTAGGTAATTAATGCAAGTGTCCTTCCAGCTTCAGTAGTAACCTCTGAATCTGCAATTATGTCGCTGTTTTTTGGAGCTCGTTTTATAATTCCTAATGTTAACTTACTACAATTGCTATGTGAGTGTGATGATAGACATCATGCTAGTAGACATCAATTTAAAAAAATCAATCTCATGTAAAAATTAGATTACCAAAATGTGTGATGGTATGGTATGGTAAGCTCAGTGTCAGCTGATCCCTTTGTAGTCTTGGCTAGGTTGTGTGACCTGGAATAAGTCATTTGTTGCTGAACCACGTATTTCCTGCCCTCCATTACCAATTCAAAAAATAGCCTAACTGAGAGATAAGAGTAAGATTTGACTATTAGAATTCGTGCAATTTTGTTCTCTGTACTAGAAAATCAAAATATCTTGCAATGACTAGAAAATATCAATTTTTCAATTTAAGAGTACCTAGATCACAACAAAAGAGGTTATTTTATGCAAGAGGTAGGCTGATTTCATCCACCACCACCATTCCCCACAAAAACTAGCAACTGTCATTTTAATTTATTTCTAAAACTAAGTATGATTTTAATTTGGAGCATATGGGAGCATATTCAATCTACTTCTATTTTTGTTATTTTTTTAAGTTACTGAAGCTTATTTTCTTAGAAAAAAGTTATTAAAATATTTCAGGTATATTAAAAATACCTGAAAATCTAGAGAATAAGCAAAGGACAAATATCAGAAATAGAAAACATCTTTCATTCACCCAGAGATAATTGAGGTGAATTATCCTCCCAAATATGATATTTTGTTCATATTTCTCATATTTTTGTTTTGTTTCTATTTTGTTCACGTTTTCCCCTAAAATAATTGTATCAAACCATATATACTGTTAAATGAATTGACCAAAATATCCCTCATCCTACATTACCTTAAGGGTCCTACAGCAAATGTTAAAGGTCTTCTCAGATTCAGGCAAAAATGAAATGACTTCCAATGCTGGTAGGAAATGATGTGACATATGAGTGTGTGCAAAGCAGTAGATAAACCTAAGAAGAAAGCTGATTAACCCTCTCTGGGAGGTGATGGTTGGATCTTGAAGAATGTTGAAATTTGTCTGGCATCGAAGAGCAGAAAGCATTTCCCAGACAGGAGAAACAGACTTAGAGAAACTCCTAGAACCTTTGATAGACCATGGCCCATGGCAGACCAGAGAGGCACCTAGTTTTCCTGGCAGGTGTGGTGCATGCATGGGGGTTCAAGAGGAAGTGAGCAGAGTGTGTGGGTCCTGGTTATGAACACCTTTGTTTGCCAGGCTGTGGAGTATGGAATTTGTTCTGTTGCCAGTGGGGAACAAGGGACTTCACAGAATCAATTACTGCCTTACATTAAAGCAAGTGATATTGAGTGAGCATAACCAAAACCCAGCTTTGCTCTTTTATGAAGGATGGATTTTCAAAAATCCAGGTGCTTAAAAATATCTTCAGATACAAACCAAATACAGTCTTTATGAACATGTCCCAGAAAACTCCCATCACCTCTACAGAAGCCTTTTAAGAGCCTTTTGGGATCTTGGAGTGGTTTGCCTTACAACATTTTGCAGTCAGATGAATCCGGCAAGGGCATAGTCATCCTTAAAGAGCAACCTGGGTAGAGGTTGTTTAGGCCACTCTCCACAATAGGAAGGAATGTGTTTGGCCTTGCTGGGTGCCTGTGGGAGGGCTCTGATGAGGAAAGCTATGGAACCCAGGAATGGCTGTTTAGGGGGTTTAGGTTTTTTTTCCATAGACCGGTTGTTTCTTAACCAGCTCATTTGCACCACCCAGCGGGTAAACACTAGAATACTGCTTTGAAGGCATTTGAAGGGGGATTACAACTGAGCTGTCCTTCCTCTGATTTCTCATCTGCTATTTCAACCATTCCTTCTGTGTAAGAATGTTAGGAGACATCCCAATAAACAGTTTTTATTCTGTATTTTGAGGCTGCATAGTGAGGAAAGCACAGGTCTTGGTTTTTCACAGACTAACTCAATGGTTTTGGAAAAGTCTGATATCCTCTTTCAAATTGTTCCCCTTTCTGGTTTTTTTTTACAACACTTCCATATTTCAAGTGTCCATAATATCTTAGTAGCATAACTACTTTAGTATTTACCTATTGCACCTGTAATTCAAAGTGACATTGGTTTAGGTAAAGAAATAATATCTCTTTGGCATTTTAAAAATTCAGGAATGACTGTAACCATCTGTAACTAATATATGTCAATTAATATAGAAGTCAGTGTCATCTGAATGCACATTCATAAGAATGTTTCAAAGGCTCCAAACCACAATTGCATCATGTAGTGGAAAGAGCTGGCTTTTGCACTCAGATGGACCCGAGTTAGAATCCCACCCCTGCCACTTTCTGTGTGACTTTGATAAGTTACTCTCTGCCTGAGTCGTTAGCTCATCAGTACAACAGGGATGGCAAGTATCACCACAGGGTTATTGTGAGGATTACCTGATGTAATATCTGTAGAACAATTTGGGATGCTGAAACTAAAATGACACTAAACCTGTCCTTCCAAATGCTTCATGGCACAGGGCTTGTTACCAGCTTGCTATCTAGGCCATTCGTGGAGATGAAAGTGTAACAGCTTCCCTGTGCCAGGCACTGGGCTGGGTGGGGGATACAAGGTGAAAGCACATGTGGTGATCCACTGAGTGTTCCTTTTTCCTGACACTCATAGCTCACAGTGGAGGAGGGCCAACAGACATGGCCATCATCCATGCATACACAGGTGTACAAGCCATCTCTTCACATGCAAGACTCCAGGTGCGCACAGGTGGAGTGAGTGGCTGACTCCACAGCGGCTGGGGCAAGAGTGAAAGTCACCTTGTCTGAGTTAGGAAAATGATGGCAATTAGCCAACTAAGGAGGGCAGGATATGGTAGGAGCAGTCTGCAGGCAAGGGTGATGTAGATGGGTGAAAGTCCAAGTGGTTGCATGTCAAACACACTGGTATTTTTTTCATTCCCCCTAAGAAATGTCCTCTTTCCAACTTTTCTTTACTTATATCCACATAAGCTATTCTTCTTTCATTTTTTATTGAAATTAAGGAGAAATTGTTCTCTACTCTAAGAAAAACAGCTGTTAAATCCAATCACCACATCAATCACTAAGTGACACTTAGCTCCTATTGGGGATACAACTGGGAGTGGTGAGGACTAGGGCAAACTTGAGAGCATATTCTCCATCTGAAGAGCAGCCATTCTTCAACTCCAGCTGCCTAGTGGCACTCTATCTTGCAATTTTTCATAAAAAGTGAGAAAACTGGATTTTTGACAATTTAGCCAAGTTTTTAAACATTGTTTTGATTTTTAAAAATCCAAAACCTGCAGACCAAATGGGCCACATGTGCACACTAAATTTTATTCATGGGCAGAGCTTGCAGTCTTTTGTTTAAAACCTCCAGAGGTTGCAAGGCTATTTTCAGAATTCTTCAACGAGTCATTGCTCTGCTTATCGTTACTCCTAACCATCCTTCTCCCTCTGCTTTCCAGAAAGAGATGACGAGCAGGATGTGTCACTAACGCCTCATCTTACCCTTTGGAAGGAAGAGGAAAACTGTTTCCTTCTGGAGTCCCCAGTGGGCAGGCAGGAGACCTCCCTGGCTGAAACAGCGTACCTACTGCTGGGAGCAGGCAAAGTGGAGACAAGCCGCAACTCCCAAGAGACGTTCCCCCCTCACTCCGTGTGCTCTTAACCCTCTGAGTGCTGCTAGCTGGACCTGTGGACCTGGCCAACCACAGCGTGAGAGAAGGACCACGCCCTCAACCCTCTGGGCTCTGGAGGAGGCCTCTGCACTTACGAGCTCCTCGCAGTTCTGCCTGTGACCTGCCGCTTAAGCTTTACTAGAATTCAGGTTTAAAGACCGATACTTACTTGTACTTTTCCTGTCTTGTCAGCTGTCCAACTTTTCTGTAACGTGTTTTTAAGTACCCAGAGAATCTTGGAATTCTGGATGTGCAGCAAGCTCTTCTATAACCAGCCTTCTTCTCAGGTCTCTGACAGCTTGCACCCTGGTCCTGTGGTGTAATGTGGACCAGTGCCAGGGAGCCCTGAGACCTGAGGCCTGCCCTGCAGCATGGACACAATTTCCCTAATCGACAGTTTTATCAGGGATCACTTCATGGCGTGGCTTGTCTCTGCCCCAGACAGGGTCTGCCCGCTTTGCAGGGAAGAGACTGGTAGCTAGCATACAGCTAGAGTTACCAGTTCACCCTGAACAGAATGTGTTTTTTGTAACTACACCATTCCTTGTCTCTGCCATTCAAGATATTCCTTCCTGTTTCCCAGAAGAGGGAATAAAAGGGAGTTATAAATGACCAAGAATGATCAGCAGATGCCCTGAGCCAGAGTAGTGCAGTATTTGTTCTTTATTAAAGGGTAGGGAATAGTGGCTGTCTCTACATAATACTAAAATTTCAGTAATAAAACAAACCCAAAGTACGGTTGGTTATTTGGTGCAAGTGGCTCAAACGCCTGGCTCGTTGACTTCTGCCCTTCTGAACAGGCCTTCTGAGCTTCTAAATCCAATCAATGTTTCCTTTTCTTCCACACTTTCCTCTCCTATGCCACATCACATTATGGCACAAAATTTCTGCCTCTGTGATTGTCCCACAGTTGCCAAGGTAACAGTGGAGCTGGAACTTCCTTCTTCTATCTTCCCCAATTTTTTTCTATTCCAGTGGACAGAGTGACTCATTCTGTGTTACATCCTGCCTTTGAAACCTAAATGAATTTTAGTTGAAAAAATGTTGCCTTCTCTCATTCATTCACAAAACTCTGATGGTCCTGAGAGCCTGTGACTAGGGGGTAATAACACTTAGAGTGATTACTTGAATTTGACAAAATAGCAGTTGGTGGAGGGAAGTAGACAAGAATGTATTTGTGCATTTTAATGTCATACCAATTAGAGAATAAACAACTCTGATTTCATTTCATTCTACAATAATGTGTTAAAGCCATCTGTGGCCACTGCAAGAGCCGAGACAGCATGTTATCTTTCTTTGTACAAACTAAGAAAGGGCTGACTGTCCAGGCACAGTGGTATTCTGCATTAACTAACCCAGCAAATCAACCCTTGCTTCACAGCTCCAAGTTGTCTCATAGAATCCAAACATTGCTACCTCTCTCCATGTTGTTGTGCTGTAGTCAACAACAATGTACCCCACTTTTTTTTCTGTTACTTTGAGGGGACAAGGACAAGATAGACAAAACATCTATCTTCTCAGCATCACTTATAGCTGAAAGAATATTGACTGTCCTAAGGATCCAGACAACAGAGAAATAAGAGCCCCTATTCCCACCCTACACAATCTGCAGTAACTACCATATTGGGCAGAGAAATTACGGCATGGAATCTGTGCCCTAGGAGGAACTCTGAAGCTCTGCACCATGGAAAACCACAGGACTTTTGCATTAGACAGTTGCCTATGTTACTGCATTTCGGTAATGCCTAATCAAGTAGGATGCTGGACTCTGAAGACATTTGTTATTAATTCTTTTTAAGGCTATTGTCTATTAACTGTTTGTGCCTATGAAATTTCCACTCAATTTAAAAATCAAAGTATTTTTAAAACTTCTTGGAACAATTTCCTCCTGGTTATACTACTAATCATACTAATCAACTCTTCTAAGATAAGTTCTGGCAAACTTACCCTATTTCAAACTTGTCCTATCCTATCTGTTATTTTTTAATTACACAGTGTTCCTATTCCCACAGAACTTTGGCAAATTCTGAAGAAAATCATTACAGTTTTTGTCTCTTTGGCTTGACCACATTCTAAGTACATATCTTTACAGAAGGGAATCTAAGCTCCTGGGAGCCTTCTAAGCATCTCTAGCTCTCTGGATCTGAGACCAACACCCTGCAACTTCCTCCTAGTCTGGCTGGCTTGCCCTCATTTTCTTTTTTTAGTTGGCAATACATATAACCACTTTTTTTTTTAAGAAACTTCACAAAGGGAAGATTGCATTGAACATATGTATGCCCTTCATTTATGTTTATCAGTTGTCAATATTTCTTTAATTAACATTTTCCATATTTTCTTTCTCTCTGTAAATATACATTCTCATTGTTGAACCATTTTGAAATATGATAGATATCATAAAACTTTGAAATACTTTATTAGTTGCCCCAAAAATGTTTATGGCTTGTTTTTTTTCAAATCCAAGATCTCGAAAAGATAACAACCAGTGCTGTTAGATGATCTGTCATCACCAAGGATTCATATATTCCCATTTAACAAAGGGAAAGGGGAGTAAGAAGATTCCCTGAGGAAAATACATGCATATTGCTGGCTAATGAAAATTTGTATAGTCCCTGTGAGTCAGAGTGGAAACATATATAACTTTTTGGGGGTTTTTTGCTCCCATCCTCAGCGACCTCCCATTCAGGTCCCTGGTTTATTTTAGAGACTATGTATTCTCATTGAAGGTGATTGTCCAATGGTGCAAAAAATCTTTTTTTCTTTTAGCGGGAGGAAATTTTAGATATTACAGTGGGTTGTGGTCTTTCAAAGACACAAATAACATAAATGCATATAAGTATGTGGCATTAAAATTAATAAGGAAGGTAAGGAATCAAATGTCTCTAAAGGCTCCTTAGGAAGATGATAATGAAAAAAATAGGTTAAGAAATAGTCATTTAGAGCCAGTTTATGTTTCTTAAGTTGTTAATTTTCTCTTTCTGTGGTATTTTCTAATTTTTGAGGGCCAGGATGAGTAGAAGCAACTTTGAGTGATTTCTTAATCCTTTCCTCTAACCTCCCAGGCCATAACAGCAACATTACAGGTGAAAACCCAATTCTCCTCTCAAAGATCTTAAGGCACAGAAATTCTGCAGCATCCTTTGGTATAACCCCCTCAATACGTCACAACATCTGAAACCCTTGCGTTCAACTTGAGTCAACTATTATCTTGGTGTTTCAGCACACCTTTTCTAGTGTCCCACATAAAGAAAGATCCAAAGACTATATAGGATCATTAAAAATAATAATAAATGAGAGCTTTCCCTGTATATCCAGTAAATATTTGAAAATTGTTGCCAAATGGCCTTCAGGCCTATCCTTAGCATTCTCCCAGGGGAAGTTTCATTGCTCAGTTGCTAACATTTCCAAACCTCAGCTCGGCCTTCCCAAAGCTTTTCCTGTCACTGTGCAACCTGGATATAACCAACAGTGAACATGTAAGAAATTATCTCATGATTTTTCTGAACTATTTTGTGACTTTGCTTAGTCCTGACTTGCTTTTTATATGTTTATAAGTTTTCTTTTCTACTTTATTTACCCACACTAAATCCTTATCTATTTATATTCAACCATTCTGGTTTGTTATCCCCAGTTTCCTTCCTTCCCACCTTTTAACATTCCTCATAAATGTACACTGTTTTGTTTAATCACTTCTTTAATTGGCAAAGCATTAAGGGACTTGGATAGAGTTCTGCTCATCTTTTTGCAGTGATTTATGCCAATCCATCATTCTGGTCATTGATAGAAATATATCACTTCCTATGGTGTCTGACCTTTCATCACTTCCACACCCATGGGTATCACACTGTGAGAAAAAGAAATATCATAGGGAAGAAATATCATGGCCACATCTTCAAGAAATGTGTACAAAGGCAGAATCACTAAATGGAGCCAGATGTGCCTCTTGGATAATACTGCTGTTATTTGTCCTTTGATCATTTTGGTCCTTGATAAAATAGGTGATTGTCTGCTAGAATTAGCCAAACAATGTGTTTTGGAAATACTGTGCTTATTTTCTTGCGTTAAAGAAATGTATCAACAAAAGCACTTTTGTAACAGGCTGTTTCCCTCTGGGCAGATTAATTCTGGGTAAGTTTTCAATGAATAAGAATTTTTGTAACTTTTAGAGGAAGAGTCCATTTCTAATCTGACAAGCTGTTTTACTAGCTTTTATTGTTCTAATTTCAAAGTTTTCCAGTATCTTTTCTAATTGCATCAGAAAGAAGTTCTATATTTTTAGTTCCATTTGTCATTAAATTAAGGGTTTGGCTGTAAGAAGAACTAACACAAATCAATTAGAAAAGCAAGATAAAACTAAAGGATATTTATGAATCAGTTCTTTGTGAGCTTAGGAATTCAAATGTCACAAATAAAAATCACATAATTATCAACTGTTTTGTCCTTTCTTTGTGCTCAATTTATTTCTTCAACAAACACATTCTTCATCTTACGATGGTCCTGTAATATGTAAACAAAAATCATTAATTCTACAAAAAATAATTCAAATTTATTTTAGAACACACATGCATATATTTATGTTTTAGCAGAAGTTCCTTTATCCTATTACAGATTTTCCCAGGAGAGTATCATGCATATAGTTTAGTTCTTCAACTGATTAATGTTGTACATTCTTTTTCTTGCAGTAGGATTCAATATTAAATTTGGTAAGAATCTTGCATATCAATTTAATAAGTCTAGATTATAGAAAAAGCTCATCAACCAGAGTAAATACAACTGAGTTTTAATCTCAGCTTTGCTGCTACCTTACTGTGTGACTGGGGGTAGGAAATTTCATTGTTCTTGTGCCTCAGATTTCTGACTGCAACTAGACTTGTAGATTTGTTCTTATGTAAGTTATAATTATTTTTGGAAAAAGACAAAGTAAGAATATTAACATATTTGGAAAAACAAATATATACATGCTATATATTCACTTATTACTAGTACATTTACAGTCACTGTATAATAATTGTGACTCCAATAACAGCCACTGTTGCTAAGAGCAATAATACAGTACTATATCTGACAAAAGCTATTTGTGATAAGGCGATTCCTAGACACAGGACATTGAGGAATGAGACTCCTGGAACCCACAAATATAAAGGGTCCCTCTGCTTCTCAGTTCCATTGTCTGAAGTGTACACCAAAATGTGACAAAGAGGCAAACTGTGGGCTGAATTTGGCTTACAGGCATGTTTTGTTGGACTGACACAGTTTTGTTTATTTAACTACTTTTTTTTTATTTCAAAAAAGTTTTAACATTTACATATTGGGAAATATGATACAAGAATTAGAATTTCTGGCTTCTCTTAGAAAACCAGGTCTAGCAGTAGCAGGCTTTTGTATCCATGTGGTAGGAACTGTCTGAGAAGTGACTGACCCATTTAAATGGGGTATGTGCTCTGCAATACACCACTGTCCTCACCAATCCCTTTTGCCTCCAAGATGTGGCTGATTATCAGTTACCATTGTTCCCTTATACTGGATGCTTCACTCATTTACTTTTTTTCATTTAAAAATTTTTTATGTTGAGGTACATATAATAAACTACACAAATCAAATGTATAGCCTGATGAATTTTGACATGTATACACTCATCTAACCATCACCCAGATCAAGATGATAAATATTCTCACTAATTTTTTCTTTTCACCTGTTTGACATATCCCCTCCACTCCCTTCCTCTATGGTAACTACCAATCTGTTCTCTACGTTTATGAGTCTATTTCAATTTTGTTTGTTCATTTGTTTTGTATTTTTTGATTCCACATGTAAGTGAAATCATATGGTGTTTGTCTTTCTCTGTCTAACTTATTTCATTTAGCATAATGCCCTATAGGTCCATCCATGTTTTTGCAAATTCAAGATTTCATTCCTTTTTATGGCTGAGTAATAGTCCATTGTATATACATACCACATCTATTTATCCACTTATCTACTAATGGACACTTAGGTTATTTCCATATTTGGGCCATTGTAAATAATGCTGTGATAAACATAGAATTGCATGTATCTTTTTGGATTAGTGCTTTTGTTTTCTTCAGGTAAATCCCCAGAGTGGAATTGCTGGGTCATATGGTATTGCTGTTTTTAGTTTTTTAAGGAACCTTCATACTGTTTTCCGTGGTGACCGCACCAGTTTGCTATCCCACCAGCAGTGTACAAGGGTTCCCTTTTCTCCACATCTTTGCAACACTTGTTATTTCTGATCTTGTTGATATTAGCCATTATGACTAGTGTGAGGTGATATTTCACTGTGGTTTTGATTTACATTTCCCTAATGATTAGTGCTATTGAGCATCTTTTCATGTGTCTGTTGGCCATCTGTATGTCTTCTTTGGAAAAAATACCTATTCAGGTCCCTGCTCATTTTTTTTTTAAATAAGGTTTATCTGTAGTATTTTAATAACTTTACTTTTACCCTGGAGAATACACAAGTATAGACAATACTAGCTTTCACATTTATTTAAAAAATACAGTCATTACACTAATGCAAAAGGACAAAACTCTTTTCCTATTCAAAAAATCTTTTCTTACCATAAAGAATTCTCTCTACATTTGAGCTAGGACGCTGGAGCATTTGGGTGAGAGGAGTTTGGGATGACTGGCCAGAATTCGTAAGTTTTCTCTTTCTCAATTGAGTAACTGAAATAGGAACTCTAGTTCTAAGTATTAGAAGCAAAGTCTAAATATTAGAAAAACAGAAAGAATGTAACAAATTGCTTCAAAATACATGCAAGCTTGTACTTTCATGTGGTGGCAGCTTCCAAATGAAATCTTCTTCATTTTTTAATCTTCAAGTTCATAGTTGGCCAGTCTTTTCCTCAGTTCTTTGATTTGGTCATTCTTCTTGCTAAGAATCTCTCATGTTTCGATAAGCTGCTGTTTGCTGGAATTTCTTCTCTAATTCCTTTTCAGCCATGCTCAGCTGCTCCTGAACCCTGAGTAGGTCATGCTTGGCTGTCACTAGACTTTCCTCCAGGGACTTCTGGTTTTCTGTCTGGTCGTTAAGTGTCTTCTGAAACTCACTCTTTAAAGCAGCAACTGTGTTTTCTATGTCACTCAAGTCGTGGGCCTTACAAAATCCTTTTGATTTCCTTGATCAAGCTGTAAATCCTGAAGTGCTCTCTCTAGTTTTGATTTCTCATCCAAAGCCTTTGTTGTCTGTATTTCCGTGGTTTTCAGCCTTGACTTCAATTTCTCATTCTCTTCAAAGTCTTAAGATTTCCTTGTTGAGGAGTTCTGCTGTTCTACCTTCATTAAGTGGAGCAAGTTTTGGCTTTACAGTATCTATGATGGGCTTTTTACTTGAAAATATGAATTCTGCTTTTTCGAATTCTGCAACTTGTTATAACAATTCTCTGTTTTCGAGTTCAGAGATATCTGTTTGTAGTTTGAGGTACCACTTCTCAGCTTGTGAGAAAAGCTGCCGCAGGAGTAGCACATTAGTGTAGGCCATGTTGATGAGCTCAGTCTCCACCTCACTGTGCACCACAGTCTGTAACCCAGTCAGGACTTCAGAGACTTCATCTACGGTGAAGGTCTCCTCTACCAGCCTGCTCTTCTTGAGGTCTTGGAAGCAGGAATCTACAGTTTTGAGTCTCAAGCCTCTTTTTGAATGAGCAAAAAGCATATAATTAATAATTTCATTTTGATGGTGCTCATTTAGGCCCAACTCTGCCCTGGCGGTGGGTGGGAGTTAGCAGTCTAGAGGAGCAGGAGAGGTCTGGCGGAGCCTCCTCAAGTGGGGAAAGACAAGGGTGACTACCCTGCTCATTTTTTAATCAGATTTTTCTTTGATGTTAAGTTATGTGATTTCTTTGTGTTTGAGATATCAGCCCCTTATTGGATTTATCATTTGCAAATATATGCTCCCACACAGTAGATTGCCTTTTCATTTTGTTGATGGTTTCTTTTGCTGTGCAGAAACTTCATAGTTCAATGTGGTCCCACCTATTTATTATTGCTTTTGTTCCCATTACCTAGGGAGACATGTCCAGAAAAAAGTTACTAATGCTGCCTATGTTTTCTTCTAGGAGTTTTATGGTTTCAGGTCTTCAATATATATGGTCTTTAATCCATTTTGAGTTTTTTGTGTGTGTATGGTGTGAGACATTGATCCAATTCCATTATTTTGCATGTATCTGTCCAGTTTTCTCAACACCATTTATTGAAGAGGCTGTCTGTCCTCCACTGTATACTCTTGCTTCCTTTATCATAGATTAATTGGCCATATAGGCATGGGTTTATTTCTGGGTTCTCTAGTCTGTTCCATTGGTCTATGTATCAATTCTGTGCCAGTACTATATTGTTTTGATTACTGTAGCTTTGGAGTATAGTTTGAAATAAGGGCATATAATACTCCTAGCTTGGTTTTTCTTTCTCAAGATTGGTTGGTCTATTTGGGTTTTTTTTGTTTGGTTGGTTTTTTGTGGTTCCATACAAATTTTAGGATTTTTGTTCTAGTTTAGTAAAGAATGCCATTGGTATTTTGATAGTGATTGCATTGAATCTACAGATTGCTTTAGACAGTATGGCCATCTTAACAATATTAATTCTTCCTATACATGAGCATGAGATAGATTTCCATTTGTTTGTGTCTTCATTAATTTCTCTCATGAATGTCTTATAAGAGACATTCTTTTTCAGAGTACAGGTCTTTCACCTCCTTGGTTAGGTTGATTCCTAGGTATTTTATTCTTTTTGATGCATTGTAAATAGAATTCTTTTCCTGATCTCTCATTCTGCTAATTCTTTGTTAATATGTCAGAACACAACATATTTCTGTGTATTAATTTTGTATCCTGCAACTGCTGAATTCAGTTATTAGTTCCAATATTTTGTTGGTGGACTCTTTAGGGTTTCTATATATAGTATCATGTCATCTGCAAATAATTTTACCTCTTCCTTAACAATTTGGATACCTTTTATCTCTGTGTTGTCTGATTGCTATGGCTAGGACCTCTAGCACTATGCTGAATAAAAGAGATGAGAGTGAACATCCTTGTTTGTTTCTGATCTTAGAGGAAAAGCTTTTAGCTTTTCACCATTGAGTATGATGTTAGCTATGGGTTTGTCATATATGGCCTTTATTCTGTTGAAGCACTTGCCCTCTATACCTATTTTGTTTAGAGTTTTTATCATGAATGCACGTTGAATTTTGTCAAATGCCTTTTAAGCACCTATTGAGATGATTGTGTCGTTTTTATCCGTCTTTTATTAATATGGTATAGGATACTGATTGATTTTGAATATTGTACCATCCTTGTATCCCTGGAATAAATCCCACTTGGTCATGATGGATGATCTTTTTGATGTATTTTTGGATTTGGTTTGCTAATATTTTGTTGAGGATTTTTGCATCTAGTTCATCAGGGATATTGGTCTATAA